GATCATTGACTCATTCTAACCGCATTGCATGCCTGGCAAATTTGATATTTTAAAACCGTTTGAAACTGACAGGGAAAAAAAAACAGCATAGGAAAAAAAAGGACCCGTTTGAACTGTCAGGCCTCTGTGGATGGCTGTATTGTATGGGGTAGGGAAGAACAGTCCCACTGACCAGCAGCCACCGAGCACCAAAGCTCAGAGCCCCCTGGAAAGCTGATAACCTGAGTGGCTGAAAGCAGAGGCAAACTCAGCCAGCACAGAAGCCTCCTAGGGGGTAATTAGAATCTCTTCAGCCAGACTCAGAAGTCATAAAATATAAGGGTCCCAGTGGGCCATACTCAAGCCCTGGCCAGGATGGAGTAACTCACAAAGGTAAGAAAGATGACTTTGGTCCATCTAGAAAGAATAAGAGGGGCTTATATTAATTACCTCCAATTACAAAGGGAGAGAAAGAACCACCTTTTAAGGAGGAGAATGCAAATTGAAATTCTATTTGTGTAACTTTGAGACCAAGAGAAAGAACGTTAATGGCCCTATGGCTTCTGTGCCATGTCACGTCACTCCACTGGCATGGTGTGCCAGTTAGGGGTCAACCAAAGGCCATTGGCTTAAGTTCAGAACTGAATCTCTAAGAACAGGTCTATCTTACCCAAGTGAATGGGGGTGGAGGTGAGGAGTAAGAGAAATACTAAATGGGAGAAACTGTATGGGGAGTGCCGGATGCTTCAGAGAACTTGCCCTCCAAGATTTGGGAAATAAGTCTATATTCAGACAGCCACAAAAAAATGACAGCAGTAGGAATCACAGAGTGAGTGGTTCTGCGAAGGAGCTTTATCCTAAAGACAAAACAGATTCCAGGGAACCACGGTGTTTCCTTCTCCTCAGGGTGTGGTTGTGTCAAGATAATTTAGGGCATCTTGGTTGGATTACAGAGAGTTCTCTAGCCCAGAGATGCGTGCTAAACAGTTGAGAACACTCATCAGGTTGTTTGTTGGTGGGAGGGGGACAAAAAGGTGACATCTGGCATCAGGGAAGACGTGCCCCTAAAGAACCTCTGTTTGGGGACTCTGCAGAACAACACACATAGGACTGACTAGGGAAATGGGGTCTCCCCTTAACTGCCACTTTTATACCAGGCTTCAAGAGCTGAATATGTTAAAAGTTAGGAAGCTCTTTGGAATTGGTCATAAATAAAACTTAAGATGATTATGACATAAGTGATTGAATCACACCCATTTCTGCATATTAGTAATTCCACAGAGTAGATTAAGCTCTTAAATCAGAGGCCTTACAAGCATGGGGTAAGCAAGCCTGGTGGTGAATGTCTAGAACTCATCAGGATCTCATCAGGCTGGTGAGGAAGACTCTGGGATGTGGGCTTGAAGGATTTGGAAACAATTCTCTAGAAGTTTTTGTGGAATGCTTTTCTTCCTTTTTAAAGATTTTTATTTATTTATTTGAGAGAAAGAGAGAAAGCACGAGAGGGGGAGCATCAGAGGGAGAAGCAGACTCCCCACTGAGTGGGGAGCCTGATGCGGGACCATGCAGGACCCGATCCGGGACCTGATCTTGGGACCCTGGGATCACGACCTGAGTCGAAGGCAGACGCTTAACTGACTGAGCCACCCAGGTGCCCTGTGGAATGCTTTTCACTTTGGTAAGTAAAAGCCAACAGCACCTGAAATCCTCAAAGGTGAGACAAGAGAATTGTGTGGTTTGTGGACTATGCCCATCCCTTTTGCAGGGGCAATCATCCTGTCCTGCTCACTAGTGCCTCTTCAGTGTCCGTAACTGCCTGCCCCATACCAGTTCCTCTGCAGTTGGCTGTTGTGCATGCTCTTCTGGGGTTCCACAAGGGAGTTTATTACTCTTTGTACTTGAACCTGCTCCTATGGAATTGCTCCAGCCCAACAGGTGACGTACCCTGATCTTTGGTTTGATGGTCACAACGCAGACGGGCTTCAGTGCCCGTGAGGTGAAGGGCATGCAATTTGAAGCTTCATTAGGCTCACGTTCAGCTTCAGGTTTTCTCCCGAAGGCTTTTGTGATTTTGAGTGACTCCCATACTTGAGTTTTTCTTCATGAGAAAATGAAGAATATTAGTCAAATTTTGATCTAAGATTTTGCATGTCCCCAAATATAATGACCTCCTCTGATTTGAAAGAATGGGAGAAGCTGCAACGTGCCCCCCATACTTCATCTGGAATCTCCTAAACCTGGCTTCCACAGAGGATCTAAAACAGATGCAAGCTCAGTGATGTGCTGATTCATGACTGCGATCACCGGGTGGCCATGCCCTGTGTCTGTGCTGTAATTTCCACTTCCAGCAGAAGGGACCTCAGCTCAAATCTAATTTAAAATTTTATTTTGTTGCAATCCTCCAGATATCTGCCCTACTCTTTCTTGGAAGCAGGCTGTTTCTGAGCAAAGCAGATCTCTTGATACAGGATGTTACAAGCTTCCAAAAGGACTCCTTCCTCTAAAATGCATCTCTCACAGACCTTACCAAAATTTCTGTGTTAGAAAGCTTCATATTAATAACTTTCTATATTTATTAAAAAGGAAATTTCTCATCATTACTAAATAAAAAATAGATAGTATAATAAGACATGGCTGAAAGATATTTTTCCCAATACCTATGAGGAAAACATAACAAATCATATCCATTGATGTAAAAGTCCAAATCATTTGGCAAACACTGAGCTGAAACATAGCTACTGGTACTTAATTCCATACATTGTGCTAGGGATCAGGGGTATAATAATAAATAGATACAATAGATATCTAGATAGTTGTAATAGATATAATTCCTATTGTCAAGGAATTCAGAATACAGTAAGGAGTAGAGACAGAGAGATAGATCATTGTTTTTTTTTTTGTTTTTTTTTTTAAGATTTTATTTATTTGACAGAGAGAGACACAGCGAGAGAGGGAACACAAGCAGGGGCAGTGGGAGAGGGAGAAGCAGGCTTCCTGCTGAGCAGGGAGCCCGATGTGGGACTCGATCCCAGGACCCTGGGATCATGACCTGAGCTGAAGGCAGACGCTTAACGACTGAGCCACCCAGGCGCCCGAGATAGATCATTGTAACTTGATGTCAGCATTTCTGTGGTGAAGATAAGCCCATCGTATCTTATAAGCACAAAAGGAGAGTGTTCAATATGGTAAGCTTGTGTTGGAGAAGAGCGTGCTGGGGTGTTCAGGAAGGGACATGCAGGGGCAATGGCTAGATGACAAAGAAAGGGTCTCCACCCCCCCCAAAAAAAAGGGTCTCCCAAGAAGAGGAACAACATGAATAGTCCAGATTCCAGAAAAGGCTTGGGATGAGTGAGAAGTCAGCATTTACATTGCTACAGTGAACAGTGAAGAGTGGGATCAAAGAGGGATGGGAAGGAGGTGAGGTTGGATGTCAGGGAGTCAGCTTGTGCCGGGGTGAAAGTAATGGAGTGAAAGGGATGAACTTTACACTCAAAGCAGACATTCTCAAAAGAATGTTAGAAATCAGTCTAGCAAGTCAATACTACTAACTGAACAAGGAACACAAAGAGGGAGGGAAATGGAAAATGGAAAAGCTCTGTAAATGGCAACATGTGAAGGCCTTTGGAAAGCAAGACTGCCAAAGAATCATAAATATTGAGCTGACCTTTCCTCCTGGTACAGGCAAGCTTGTTCCAAGGGCAGCATGTAAGGGGTGCATGCTGAGGTAGTGAGGATTGGTAGGTGGCCAGTTGTTCTGTGATTGTGAACACAGTGGACCTTGAGAGTTGGCCTTCTCAAGATGGAGTCTATTCTTCCTACTAGCTGATCCTTTTTAAAGACTCCTGTAATATTTCTTAGTCTCCAGGCAAGAATTTCTTCCAGGGCTGAGATCATGTCTTTGTACTCTTGTGTGTGATCATAGGTAAGCCCCTCGCTTTTCAGACTTAATTTTCTAATCTTTCAAATGGGACCAATATTCTTAGGATCAGTTGATATGAAGTGTATACAAGCGCTTCTCCCTGTGACTCATGCTCACTGCAGGAAGTCAGTATTTGTCAGTTTTCTATTTCATTTGCTCTGTTTGTTAATGATGATGACTTCACAAAGGTTGGTCAGCATGCTTTCGTGGATTAGAAATGTGATTAAGGAAACTAAATGAATTTCTGACTTATCTTGATGGCAGCACCAAACAATTTTGTGTGTGGACCTTCGTTGTATTTGAAGTTATTATAGACAGGTCTGTGCTTCAGTGTGACAAAGTGACAAAAGGGAGCCCAGGGTAAGACATCATCAGTTGTCCATTAACCCAGATACTGGCCATAATAACTCTTGCTAATACACACTATCAGTCTATTGGCACAGGAATAATAAGGCCAGGAAATGCAAATCAAATCTCATTTACTTGGACCCATTGCAGGAGAATCCAGAAGGTACTGCTGAACCGCTAAGCCTGCATCCCTGTTAGCCTTGGAAGACACACCCTCAGACCAATTTGGAGGACAGTTTGTGAAAAACTTATGTTCAAAATAGTTCATTTACCTTTTCAGTAGCTATTTTTTTTCAGTAGCTATTTTTTTTGACAAGTGCTAAATATTCTTTATTTAATATTATACATAAACCATGCTAAAATACCTTTCATTAAGCAAAAGACAACATTTTAGATGCAGGGAATTTTAATCAAATTGGCAAAAAGACACTGCCAGCTTATCTTCAACCCTTGCTTTTAACAGGCTAATGAGCAAACTTGAAATACAGCTGAGTCTTGTTGTTCTGAGACCATGAAGGGATTTCCTCAGTATTTAAATATATTAATATAACTATTTATATAAATCTAAATATAAAACCAATTTCCTATAACTTTAGAGATGGCAGTTAGAATCTCTGTGAAAAGCTGAACATCACTAGTCAGTTCCTATCATATTTTTAAGAGGGGAAAACAGTGGCAGCACTTGCTCAACCAGACTTACTATCAAAGTTCAAAAAGCTGATCATATTCATTTAACCACAAGCCAATCTTATTTAAATCAGGACTGTCTAAAAGAAGTATTCTATCAGCCATTCATGATCTGAATTCTGGTGTATGAGATCAATTTAAATATGGTACACATAAAAAAAAAGTCGTGAAACAGTTTTGTTTTTTAATAAATAAGGCAATGGCCAACTATTACTCCTTAGTCACTTTTTTGAGATAAGCTATCAAGTCTGCTCTTTCCCCTGTCTTTTTAATGTCAGTGGAGATCATTTTGGTTCCAGGGATGCACTTCTTGGGATTCTCCAAATACTCATCAATGTCTCCTCTCCCCAGGTGATGCCTTTGTTCTTGTTGGCATCTGTGTAAGAAAATCCAGGGGACTGACCAGTCTTTCTCCCAAATAAACCATGAAGATTTGACCCAGTCTTGTGCTTGCCTCCCTTTTCCACAGTATGGCACTGGGCACACTGCTGAACAAAAATCTTCTTGCCCTTCTCAACATCACCCATTTTTATTTTTTTAAAGATTTTATTTATTTATTTGACAGAGAGAGAGAGATCGCACAAGCAGGGGGAGCAGCATAGAGAGGGAGAGGCAGAAGCAGGGCTCGAACCCAGGACCCTGGTATCATGACCTGAGCAGAAGGCAGGTGCTTAACCGACTGAGCCACCTGGGCACCCCACATCACCCATTTTTATTTTATTTTATTTTATTATTATTTTTTTTAAGATTTCATTTATTTATTTGACAGAGAGAGACACAGCGAGAGAGGGAACACAAGCAGGGGGAATGGGAGACAGAGAAGCAGGCTTCCCGCTGAGTGGGGAGCCTGATGTGGGGCTTGATCCCAGGACCCTGGGATCATGACCTGAGCCAAAGGCAGACGCTTAACAACTGAGCCACCTAGGCGACATCACCCATTTTTAAATCATTCTTTTGTTGCACATGAAACCAAGGTGGCCACTTGCAAGCCAGTTGGACATCCTGCTCTCTTCAGTAGCTACTTTGTATCCATGTGGTTATGCAATCAGATGATGGCAAGGATTCACAAATGGAGTGAAGTGCAAGGTAAAACCTATTCCTTAGAAACATTTTATGTTGGTCAGGGAAATGATGTTGATCTTCCAGTTATTAAAATTGTGTATGTGTCGGTAATTGTGCCAAATGCTTTATATACATTATCTCAGTTAATATCCCAACAAGCTTATGATATATACAGTTATTGTCTTTTTTTTTTAGAGATTAAACCAACTGGACCTAAGAGAAGTTAAATAAATTGCCCAAGGTTACACTGCCAGTTAAGAAGCAAGCTAGACACCCGGTTCCTGGTTTACCTGCAGCCAATGTTCATGGAAATTGCTACACCCTCCTTTATCAGATATAGAAAAGGATATTTCCACTAAATGAAACTCACAGGGCAAACATGGAAACCACATAAGTTAATATATGTGGAGACTTTTTTTTAAGTCGAAATTGCTTAGCATGAGAACCATAGCCTATTGTGTCTCTACCACACTCAAAGCAGCACACCAGAAGAGACGTCCAATGAGCTCGTGTGCACGAAGTTGACCTGTGAGTCTGAATTAGAAAAGAAGTTCAATTAGAAACAAGCAACTGGGGCAAAGTAGTAGGGGGTGGGGCACTGGCAGATGGAATTGTCATGACCTATATGTGGATTATCCATTTCTTCCAATTTAGTAAGCAGAAAATGCTTCTCACCCCATCCTGAACAGAATGACATCTTATTCCGATTATTCCTGCAGCATCAGCACTTCTTTCTCACTCTCCAGAAGTCTCTGAAATTGCCTTCCATGAAAATTTTTCCAGAGGTCTACAGTCAGAAGTCACTTTTCTTTGAGGAACAAAGCAGTATATTAATAGATTCCAGAAGACATCATATATGACCTCTTTGTTTTAAATGTATTTTCTGGGTTTTATATGTATTCTCTATACTAACAGTGCATAGCTGATAGCAAACATGATTATTTTTTTCACTGCATTTAATTAAAGTGCCATAAATTCCAGTTACATTTCTCTGCTAGAGATGCATAAATACCTAGTAAATGAAGACCAACAGCTGATGCATTCCTGTTTTCCAGTGGCCCAGTCACAGTGCCGTCTGTGCCTTTAGTAACCAGTTCACATGCATTTACCATTGTTGCACTTCTAGAATAAAATTTCCAACCAGAAATGTCTTGTGAGGCCTTAATCTATGTATATGTGCTCTGAAAACAAGGGAAACTGGCCCCAAAAAGAGTTGGTTCTGCAGACTTGATGAATTTGCTCAATGAGATTAATTAAGCAGAGGAGTTCCTTGCCTCTGGGAATGACTAAGTCACCAGACCAAAATTGCACACTTCCTTGGTGGCAGGGGATGCCACTGGCAAGGGCAAATAGATCTTCTGTGGTTCCCGATGCATACAAAATTTTGTGTACCTGCCTTAAGGAAAAGAATGCAGGATGATAGGAGTAAAGCTAGGCCCACAGTGTCCCAGGAATGAGATGACAATGTGTGATGAATTTTGTTAGGAACGAAGAGTGTTGTCTATCACAATTTGGGAGACACTGCGAAAGAGAAGCATAAAAGAAGGGTTATTTATGCCTTAGACATTTTTTCTAGAGGGTTCATTAAAGGCTTTATTTCCATTCCCTGCTGTTATCATCATAGGCCTAGTCTAGGTCTGGATGTGAGTTCAACAGGGATAAAGCTGAGATACCAATCTGAGAGTCAGAAAATGTCCTGTGAACAGACTTTGTTCCTATGTCAGTATAATTGTGCCTGGTTTCTTGCTTCTATTAGTAGTATGATAATCATGAATGATGTTCATCAAATATGGCCAGTACATGGTTCTAACTAAACTCCCTAGCTTCTAGTGATTGAGTGAGTCCATAGGACTAGCTCTGGCCAAGGATTTGTGAACAGAATTGATGTGTGTAACTTCTGAGTATGAGCACTTAACTGATGGACCAAGAGTATAAGATCTTCCCCCTAAGGTCTCTTTCTCTCTTCCATTCTTAGTGATGATACCACGATGTGGCTTCTCTGTCATCCTGGCTGGAGTAAGAGACATAGAGCAGTGTCCCTAGGCTGACCTCAATAGGCAAGAAGCTTAACAACATACCTTTCTTGTTATATAGGTCATTAGCTTTGGAGGTCATTACCACAGAAAGACAGACATTATCCAGGCACCGGAAACATTGCATTGAACAATGATTTCCTCCTGCTGCTTCAAACTAATGGAAAGAGGGGCTGGTCTGCAAGACATTTACAGATAAGACTACATCTCATCAGTGGGTGCATATGGGCTCAAGCTGGATCTCTACAGTGTAGACATGAAAAAAATAATAAAAGGTAGAAAAATATATTCATCTGAAAAAATTGTATTGCATTCCTATTCTGTGCTAAGTATCTTACAGGATCTTATCCTGAAGACCAGAAGAATTCATAAATTTTGGAGATGTGAAGTTGGCACTACTTGGGGGAAGTTTTTTATGGTGAAGAGGAGAATTGAGTCCTTTTTTTTTTTCTTTTCCTCTGGATATTGTAAGGGTGAGGATGGTATATGCTTGTGGACAGCATTGGGTTGGGAGAAATAAAAGGAATCAGGACATGGCCAGGGAAAAGTGACTCTGGGCTTTCAGGCAGAGAAGTTATGGAGACTTTGAATTTGGTTTATGGTCCAGCCATATTTACCATACTGCATATGAAGACACTGCATATGAAATTAGGAATATAGAATGCTCATTTGACTAAGCATCTTCACCTTTGCATCTTATAGAAACCCAGCCTAAATGGGTTCTGGTCTGTGGAAAGAAACTGAAACATCGCCAAAGACAGGGGATATTTGGAGCAGCAGTATTTTCTGGGGGAGGCTCTTTGGTTCTGTGATATAAATCAAAGCTGTTCATTCAAATTCAAGGTAGTTTTTCAACGTAATATAGATTTTTTTTTTCCTGGCAATTCACAAAACCCTTAAATGGAATGATATACCTTTACTTTTGTGGCAAATTGTAAAATTTTCTCTGAACTTACACTGACCCTCTGCTTATTCCTGCCGACAAACTAACCCTCTCCCTTTGAATTCCTTCTCTGAGTCAACTATTCTTAGATCCTGATGTAAGTTTCCACAGGATTGCAATGCCTGGCTCAGCAAAGCCCACCAGACTCAAAGGGCTTAAGCCCTTCCATTTCTTTTCCTTATCAAGTCCCTATCACTCGTTATGTCTGGGAGATACTCTCTGCAACATTGTTTTTATTGCAACAGCCTAAATATAGCACCCATTCCCTTGCAGTTTGGCTCCAGGAGAACTTTTCAAAGTTTGACAGTTTCTAAGACATGTAAAGTCCTAGCAGTCTTAAAACAATATAAAATGTTTAAAAATACAGAAGTAGTCAGACCAAAGGGTTTTAGGATTGACTGGTCAGAATGTGGGGTCGGGATCTTTCAGAATAGCTGACTCATTACTCAATAAAGTCTGTTATATTATAATGAAGTCACACCTTTTATACAACAGAAAACGTTTTTATTAGACTTCAATCAATTAAAAATGACATGAAAGTAGATTTTCTGAGTATCTTTAGAACATACCAATAATAATTTTCACATTCATTTATTGAGCACCTATTATATGATATTTACTTGATACATGCCCGTTATCTAGATTATGCATGCACATGGAGAAAAAGTTGTATCAGTTTTCTCTTGTTGCATAATGAATTACTATAAATTTAGCATCTTAAAACAGCAACTATGTTCTGTTTCTGTAGGTTAGAAGCCCAGATGAGTTGGCTGCTGGTCTGTGCTCAGGTATCATGAAGCTGGAGGCAAGGTGTCAGCCAGACTGAGGGCTTATCTGGAGAACGGGACAGAGGAGAGGGGAGCAAGAATCCATTTCAAAACTCAGGCATGTCCTTGAGGAGATGAATGCATCTCTTTGAGGTTGTAGAACCAAGACCCCCATTTTCTTGCTGGCTGCAGGATCACTCTCTGATCCCTGGGGGCACCTACCTTGCTCTTTCCATTTTTAAAGCGTCATTTGCATTTTGAGTACTTTTTGTCCTTCAGATCTCTCTGGCTTCCTGTCTGCTGTCTTCTTCTGCCTTTTACTAGGCTTATATAATTAGATCAAGCTTACCTGGAGAGTCTCCAAATTTTAAGGTCAACCGATTTGAATCTTAAAGTACAATTGCAAAGTCCCTTCACAGTGATACCTAGACTAGAGTTTGAAGAACCAGGGAATGGGACTCTCAGGGAGAGAAAGGACAATCCTTGGAATTCTGCCTACCATACTGTTGCATTCTCAAAGTCCTAGAATTTCTTAAAACTGAGCATGTTGAGGTCATGCCATCCTACCCAAATTCCTACTCTGATAATTTTTCCAACTCTCTGTGTCGACTGCACTCTGATCCATAAATCTAAGAAGCCACTTGGCAGGCAGAGAGCTCTTTTTTTATTAATAAATAACACCCTCATCACCTTTCCACCTCCAATAATACACACGCACACCC